TTACCCATCCCCTCAGGTTTAGGGTATATAATCTTTCTCTCCCCTTGAGGACTTTTGTTTGTTTGTTTGTTTGTTTGTTTTTTTGTCTTGTCCAACTGTTTTTCTCTAATATCAGCTCAATAGATAGCTCAAAGCATCACAAATTCGAAACCGAGGCCACGGTGAATGGCAGAAGGGACTGCATTTCTGACATGCTCCTGGTCGACGCCAATGTTGGTGGTTCCTGACCACAGTTCGAGAGAGCAAGGCTGGTTTTGAAACCTGGTGGCACGCTGGGATTTGGGGTTTATCTCATGATTACTCGTGAATGGGTACTACCCCTGGAGAGCTGGGTTTATTTGTTCGATGTTCGACTTGGGCATCAAATTTTAAAAGCTCATCCAGGTCATTCTAATGTGCAGCGCAGTCTGAGAACCACTGTGGTAAACTGATCGGAATAGTGTTCCCACAAATGTCTGCAGGTGCACCATCGTGGGCGTCCCTGTCCTTGTGCGGCCCCCACTATGGCTGCTCTCCATTTCTGGGTCTTCTCATGTCCGCAGAGCACCCAGCACAGGGTCTCATTCTTGGTAGGGGCTCGTTCGCTGTGTGTGGAACACGTCTGCACAGAGAGATGCTTGTCCTCCTTACGTGTTCTGGCAGGAAGGGGAGGTGACACTTTTCACTGTAAACCTGACTCCACCACGTTCCTACTTACTGCAATTCTTTTGCCAGCTTTCTTCAGAAAAAGATCGTATGTATGGGATTGAGAGATCTTAAGAACAGAACAGAGAAGAGAGAAAAAAAGAAAGGAAAGACAATGGCAAAGAGGAAGGAGAAGGAATGAGAGAGGGAAAGGAGGAAGAAAAAGAGGCTAAGGAAAGACTGGAAGAATGGGGATGAAGTGAGAAGGAAAGGAAGACAGATATGAGGGTGTAGAAGGAAAACTGGTTAGTGGAGACTTACTAACTGCCATCTACGAGAGGTGGTGGCAGTTAGTAAATCTCAAAGATTCTGTTGAGATTGACAGACTTATGGTCTTTAGGGAGCAAGGACATGAAACATTACATAAGCTATGCAATAGTTGATTAAAGGGAGATAGTACCCGAGGTAACACAGGACATCAAGGCGGATCGATGAACAAATCTAAGTTGCAGACATACAGTGTGAACCCCATTTTTATGGGGAGAAATGGTACCAACTCTTTCGCAATGAATTACATGTGCTTACTTAGTGGGATCAACTCAACATTAAGCATATAGGTAGTCAATGAAGAAATGACACGTAACCCATTTTATATCAAAGTGTCTCTTAGAGAATTATTTATTCTATAGTTACGTCCTCTAGCCTGTAGCATGATGTTGCTTATGATTACTGACTTTGAGGGAAAAAAATTAATTCTTAACATCTTACTTGAAGATATGGAGAGTCTCATTTCTCTCGTCAACCCTGGGATGCACATCTAGAACTTTCTTATTAGGGTTGAGGTCTTGATACTAATGTTTTATGAGGAAAATTAATGGGAATTCAATCCACTCAACGTGTTGATGCTTTGGTATCTTGTTATCTTTTCTAAGAAACATTCTTAATTCGATGTGCTGAACTTTGGCATTACGAGTCCCTGCAGCAACATAAGAGAAGCCAGTCTTTAAAAGATGCTGACAGAGGTAGTGATTGTTTTTTACAGTGGAGCTGTGTTTCCTTCTCCAATGCATGTCATTAGGCCGGCAGATAGAGCCTTATCATTTTACTGGCCCAGTGGGAGGGAGTTGGCAGGGAGGCCTCTATAGCTATGCTTACTCAAAGGAAATACACTCTCTTTAACATGTAAATGTGTCTCAAGCTCTATAGAACATCAAAGTGTGAAAATAAAAATTAAAGAATGCTGCTCAAAACTCCCTTGTGGTAGGGAAACACCATTTCTACTAACTTCAGGCAACCATAATTTATCCATGTATAAGGAACTTGGCCAGTAAATAACTAACCCGTACAAAGGAAGGCCAGCATTTCTGGCGTCCTGGCAACATTAAATACAGAATGTGTTGTCACGTAGTCTGACTGGTCTGAATCTGTTCACTTAGTACTGTGGGATCTAAAAATGTGAGATCATGAAACAACTGAATTCCCCGAGTTCTCTAACTCAAGGTGATGTCTCTTTCTTTCAAACTCTTGGTATTTTCTTTGCTGTGTTTAATTGGGAACTTTGTCTAGATCCTAAAATCGCTGCAGAATCCCCAGTCCCCTGCACCTTTCACCCAAGTTTAAGAACAAAATGGGGGAGGGACAGCAAGTGGCATGGTAGGTAAGGTGCTACATTCCCACATGGCTGATCGTGGTTGGAGTCCCTGACCCTTAGGCTTGAAAATCACGCTGGATGCGTGTACGTGCCTGTCCAAAATCCTAATACGAGGATGAAGTGGAAGGGACTGTGGCATGGCTACCCACCTAGGGAGTGATTTCTCACTTTCCCTCCGTCTTTCTCCTCCAAGCACATGCGTCCTATGGTGAAAACCTTAAACACCAAACAAAATCAAAAACAAAATGGGGACTCTGGAGATACAGAGCACTCTCTGGGTCTCCATTCTTTGCAGATCCCACTTTGGACCAAGTTCTGAAGGTTTACTTATGGAATGACTCCGGAGTCACCTCCTCTGCACCGAACAGAACATGTACAAGTCCACCTTTCACACGTGCTGAGCATCAAAGAGGGCTGCAGATGAGGCCAAAAAGTCAGTGTGAGGGATGCAAAAATCCACGTGGCACCAGACTCTAACACGACAATGCAGGGGACCCAAACAAAGCGAACCGGCTGAAATTCACAGATGCTCTCTAAGTTGGAAGGAACCTGCCTCTTAGATGTATAGGTAGACCAGTTGTGCTCTTTTCAATTTCTCAAGGAGTTATCATCCTCTTTCTAAAACCAAAGAGAAGTCCAGAAGTAGAGTCAACACCAGGACTCGTGCTTCCTGTGTGCTTGTCCAGCAGGATGTGTTGTCAATTAAAGAATGCTGCTCAAAACTCCCTTGTGGTAGGGAAACACCATTTCTACTAACTTCAGGCAACCATAATTTATCCATGTATAAGGAACTTGGCCAGTAAATAACTAACCCGTACAAAGGAAGGCCAGCATTTCTGGCGTCCTGGCAACATTAAATACAGAATGTGTTGTCACGTAGTCTGACTGGTCTGAATCTGTTCACTTAGTACTGTGGGATCTAAAAATGTGAGATCATGAAACAACTGAATTCCCCGAGTTCTCTAACTCAAGGTGATGTCTCTTTCTTTCAAACTCTTGGTATTTTCTTTGCTGTGTTTAATTGGGAACTTTGTCTAGATCCTAAAATCGCTGCAGAATCCCCAGTCCCCTGCACCTTTCACCCAAGTTTAAGAACAAAATGGGGGAGGGACAGCAAGTGGCATGGTAGGTAAGGTGCTACATTCCCACATGGCTGATCGTGGTTGGAGTCCCTGACCCTTAGGCTTGAAAATCACGCTGGATGCGTGTACGTGCCTGTCCAAAATCCTAATACGAGGATGAAGTGGAAGGGACTGTGGCATGGCTACCCACCTAGGGAGTGATTTCTCACTTTCCCTCCGTCTTTCTCCTCCAAGCACATGCGTCCTATGGTGAAAACCTTAAACACCAAACAAAATCAAAAACAAAATGGGGACTCTGGAGATACAGAGCACTCTCTGGGTCTCCATTCTTTGCAGATCCCACTTTGGACCAAGTTCTGAAGGTTTACTTATGGAATGACTCCGGAGTCACCTCCTCTGCACCGAACAGAACATGTACAAGTCCACCTTTCACACGTGCTGAGCATCAAAGAGGGCTGCAGATGAGGCCAAAAAGTCAGTGTGAGGGATGCAAAAATCCACGTGGCACCAGACTCTAACACGACAATGCAGGGGACCCAAACAAAGCGAACCGGCTGAAATTCACAGATGCTCTCTAAGTTGGAAGGAACCTGCCTCTTAGATGTATAGGTAGACCAGTTGTGCTCTTTTCAATTTCTCAAGGAGTTATCATCCTCTTTCTAAAACCAAAGAGAAGTCCAGAAGTAGAGTCAACACCAGGACTCGTGCTTCCTGTGTGCTTGTCCAGCAGTCAATGCACTAAGAAACTGGCGTAGAGCAGGGTCCATAGGATAATGTAGCAGGGATAAGAAGCAGATGTGTACACAGCCTGCTGCTGCTTACCAGTGGTGCTACTGTGGACACAGGACTTGGACTTTCCAAAGTCTGATTTTTCTAATCTACACCGAATGGGACTAGTAATCTCACCACGTAGTAGGATCTGATATATACGAGGCACTCCAAAATTAAATCCTTCTATACCTCATGGTATCTCACCATGCCCAAGTGTGCCAGGTGACCCCTATGCAAGATTACCTTCAAATTCACGTGGCATGCTCCATGCACCAGGGTACACCACGGCCCACTTTCAGGTGTGGCTAACATTGCCAGTAGCAACATACGGGTCTCCCTCCTACTGGTAAGAATACAAGCTACTTTCAGACTAAGACAGGTCTCTTACGGGCCATGCCTACACTTTGAAACTAAAACTCTTGAAGTTTCAACAGAAGTATATTTTCACAGGATGGGACGAAACCTTCTGGAACTCACTCCTTACATGGATTGAAAGAGCTGCATCAACAATAGGGTTGTTATAGCTCAGGCTGCACACAGGCCCCCAAAGGGATTAGACAGGCCTCAGAATGTGTTAGAGGCAAAAAAAGTGACCTAAGAAGGGACCAAATCTTAAGCTGTCATTAATATTTTCACATGTCAACGCTGAGATTTGAGAAGGCAGGAGGAACTGACTTCCTTTATACACCAGTCTGATCCTTTCATACTTAATGAACTATATTTTTTATTTGACTCCCATGGGAAAATAGCTAAACTGGATAGTTTGTTCCTGAAATCAAATATCAGCAATTGAAATACTTTCAACAGTTCCCTTAGAAATCAGAACATCACAGACTCAGGAGAAAGCGGGAACCCAAAGCTTATGGATGGCTTTTAACATTGTTTTATTTCCTTTATGCAAAAAAGTAGAAATCACAGCAAAAACACTCTGGGCAGAAAACAGTACCACTGACTTGGTCTCACTGCAGAGCTGAGTCCAAACTGCCCACATTAAGGGGAAAGGGATGCTCAGTCGATGTTAGCAAATACTCATGCAATGGATGAAATGCCACGTGGGGTCAGTGGCTTGGTGAATGTCCTGTGGGTAGGCTGAATCGATTCAATATTTAAAAACATTCATTTGCTCAATCATGCTTTTAAACAGTATCTCTTTAAAAACAAGTTATATATACAAATATCACCCAAAAATGTATATTACATGGTCTATACTATAAATTTAAGGCATCTTGATATGCTGTTTATCTGCTGGTGAGGCATTGTTCTTATGGTTTCATCTCCACAGATGGTAGTCCAGTAATTTCTGATGGTGTCCAATGGGAATCAGTGAGAGATAATTAAAAAAAAAAAAGTGATTTACAAGAAGAGTTCTTTTGACTCTGGCTCAGCCATGTGCTTTACGCTGTAGGATTTCTTCATTTTTTTATTGATGTCATTATGCCTAAGCAAAAGAGAAACCACAAGCCAAAATTAGATAAAACTATGGTCAAGTTACAATACCATGCCACTAGCAGCTCACCAAGAATGGAAATTATTCTCACACAAACCACACTGAGAACACTTCATTCTAATAGGTGAATTATTCTCTTCATGTAAACCACTCTTTAAACACTAAAAGCAACAGTCAAGCCTTAAGATACACTTACTGAATGCTTTTTAACAGAGCTCCAGAAGTATTTTTCAGCCATACTTATTGGAATCTATATTCCAAGGTATTCTATACTCAAGGGAATTGTATCACAGTCAAACAAGATAGGAAGTACAGTACTCGTGGTCATGTGGAAATGAGATTTCAGCATTTTACATGGGTACACAGAAGACACTTTTTATTGCCAATAAGTCTGGGTCTTAAAAGCTTAAAAAGAATGCCTTTTCTTTGGATATGTGATTAATGAGTGCTAGCATGTGGGAAAATCATAAGTAGGTCAATCTTGGGGGGTGGAGAAGAAAAAAGAACAATAATGCTGATTTCCTCTCAATACTTGATACCTCCCTTGTCTATGAAAAAAAAAAAAGAATGCAAACTCAAGTCTTGGAACAATTTTGCTTCTTAATGTAGATTTTCCTCTGGATAAGAATATTCACTTTCATAAGCTATTAGCTTCCTTCTAGGTATAAAAGCTTCCAGGGAGAAGCTATCTCCTTAAGGCGGGCAAGCCTGTATATACTAAGTTCCTTCTCGTTGCTACCCAAAACAGAATCAAGCTCTTTCTGGTAATGATACTTACTTACATGATGACGCATCTGGATGCAGAAGAACCTCAAGTGTGGTTTTATGGCCTCAAAATTGTGCTTGCTCACAAATGCTCTGTAGCCTACTCTCAGTGTACCAGTAATATCTGATCACCATATCATCTGAAAGTTATACTAATTTCTGTTTACTCTTCATAATAGAATTTTAGAGAGTTGTTCATATGCCATTAAAAAAAAGGGAAGAAGGTGAAAGAAAAACCTGGTTGCTAAAAGAAGTTCTAAGGACTTCCAATTAAACATAGTGGGCTGAATTTATCACCTTTCTGGGAAAACAATACTAAAAGTAGAAAAAAATCTTTTTTTTTCAGAAAGAAATAAAACTACAAGAATAAAATATATGAGAGAGAAAATGATAATAGATAAAATGTCAAAATATTTCAGAAACAGGAAGGTGGAAAAGCATTTGTAATTGTTTCAGCAGAGCAGAGGAAAACAGAAATCTATAATCAGGAAACCCAAGATGTGCAAGAGGCAGGAATTAGGAGCTCCAGGCACTTCTAAGATGACAGCAATTATGTTAAGAAATGAAGAAGTTCTTTATACTAAAACATAAAGACCTCCAACATGTTGGGTAAAACAAGCAAGAAGCAAAACTGTATATACAGTATGCCACTGTTATTAAAAGAAAATAAAAATATGAATATACATTTGTATCTTTGATTATAAAAGATTAAATATTTGTATATATAGTATTATAAGAAAAGGAACCAAGATAAACCAATAAACTATTATTGGCAATTAACACTATTATAGCAAACATTTAAAAAATAAATAGCAATACTGGAAAGTAAGTATTAATAAATATCCTAGAAAGTAGTACTAGATGGGACTGGTTCCAAAATGCAGTGGTTAAGCACTGTGCATAAGGAGTCTTATTTCACATGGCCAACCATGGTTCAAAGCCTGTCAGCTTGGAAAACGTGCCACGCATGTATGTGTGTGTATACCTAACACCCTGACTTGATGGAGAACTGGAATTAAAAAAGGATTGTGAAATGACCTTGCCCCACTAGAAGGTACTCTGTCACTCTCTGGAAACTTGCTCTCTAACAAAAAACAGAATGAAAATTGTACTAGAAATAGCATAAATGTAGATTAAAAAGGAAAAGTAGTTAGAAAATATGAGGACCAGTCTAGTGTACACAACATTAGGAAAATAGGATTTTCTGAAAGAATTGATGAATTGGAGAAGAAAACATTTTCAAAGAAATTTACATTCCCCAAAATTTAATCCTATAGCATTCCAGGTTGAAAAGCTTGCTGAGTACCCACAGCCAGAAATATAAAAAGACTCACATCATGGTAAAGGTTCGAGAAATGAAAATATTGGGAATCATAAAAGTTTCCAAGAGATCAGCAATCAGAAAGGAATGGAGCTTCTCAACAGACCCATTAGAAGTGAAAGAAAACAAAATAAAACATTATATTGAAGATTCTGAGAGAAAATACTTTCCCACCTAGAATTCTATACCCAGCCAAACACTCCTAATCCAGTAAATTGCAGATGTAGTCAAATCTACAAGATCTAGAAAAACAAAAGCACTTATTCTCTGCCCTTGGGTGGGAAGATGTGTTTATTGAAAATAAAACAAACAAAAAAAAGAAAATATAGATTTAGAAAGTACACACAGCCAAAGCAAAAGGAATTCCAAGGACAATGCAGATGGAAAACTCCAGGATGACAGCTGTGAAGTGGTGCCAGATGGCAGCAATACAGATTGGAGTAGGAGGAAAGAGAGAGTCTTCATGGGGAGAGAGAAACAGAGAGATACCTGAATTGTCTGAATGCGCAAAAAGATGGTTTTTGTTTTCAGTGTGGTGTTTAGGAACAAATTATAAACTAAAAAATGAACATTTCCAGGGGAAACATAAAACTGTAGGAGAAATAAAATGTAACATAGTACATACAACAAATGGTCTACTCTTATTACTAGTTATGTAGTCTTATCAATGATAAGCACTTAATACTGATTTAAAACCTAAAGGGTGATATAGCTGTACTGATGAAAGAAAAGGAGATTGATAGATGTGTGTATGTGTGTGTGTTCTCACATTTTTGGGTACTAAAATAGGACTAGACAAATTTAGTTCATTGTTGAGAATTTGGCTTTTGAAACCAGACGGCATTCAAATCCTGGCTCCACAATTTAACACAGTCATTTCTTGGTAAGCTTGAGTGGATCCATAATCGTTCAATGCCTAGTTTCCAATATACAATATTAGAATAGTATCTGTCACACAGTGTCATTGTGAAGATTAAAATAGTCAATAGGTGTTAAGCACTGGAAGTGTTCTGGGACACTGTGCTTTTTAAGTGTTTATAAGTAGTAGTATTTTTATCTTCTATAATAAGATGCCAATAGAGAATATAGATTTAAAAAATTCCTGAAAAGCTGTATGAGTATGTTATTTAGAAAGAGAAAAATATGGGAGAAAGCATCTGAAGGAAAAGCAAATGGTTATTTCAGGGGAGTGGAAGCAGGGGATTGAATAGGTTGGACACAGGGGACAGCCAGCTTTTGTTAGAATGTTTGTACTACTATTATTTCTACCTATGTCACTTTGATAAGAAATTAAATTAAAAATAAGACAAAAGGCTTTAAGAGTTTAGGTTGTAGTCTAAGAATAATAAAGTTTAGACTTCAGTGGGGCATCTCGGTCTCTGCTTTAATGTGAGTCAGATACATGCAAAAGAACATTCTTTCTGCATGACAAGACTCAGACTGACGAAAGCTGAGTCTACACCAAGGAAAATGTTAACTTAAGGCACTGATCTGAAAAATATCAGGATAATTCGATCCTCCTTGAACCCTCCAATTACCTAGTCCTGAACTGCCAGTATGTGAAGGACAGGAGTGTTGGGTAATTCGGGCACGGGTTACTCAGATCATGCGCTGCTCTGAGATTTCATTTTTGGATATGAAATCACATTCTGAGTGACCAAAATTGAAAGGAGAAACGGCCTAAACTTAAATAATAGTTTTTCAGGTCATTTAACTTGCTGACTCATCTCGGCGTGGATTCTGTATTCCATGGCCCAGGGTGATCAGACAGCAGTTTACAGGATCAGTGCCAAATGGTCCAGAGCGGGCACTGTTTCCAGTGCTCACCCACGTGGAGAGACTTTGCTGATTCTGTGATCTCTCTCACAGCTTTACTGACAGCACAGCGATAAATCCCATCTGCTGAAAAATGGGATTCTGGTTCAAAGCAGGAAAACAGAGGGTCCCCAAATGGAAACTCACTGCAGGCAGGCAGACTTGTGGTCAAAGGCCTCCTCTGTCTCCCTCCGCCTCCCCCAGTGATGGGCTTAGCTCCTGTCTGTAATATTGCTCTCCTTTCTTCCTCTTCCTATCTCTAGCTCTGCCTCACTTCGTTCTTCTGTGCTGCAGGCGTCAAGCTAGACTCTGGGGGTAGAGATGGGGGTCACGGCTCTCAGGAAGTTCTTACATCATTGACAGAGTTCCACGTCTTAGCTGGACCTTCTCATTTCTTCTTGGTAATGATCTCTCTGAGCAAAGGGCCAGCCCTCTCCTGGCACAGCAAAACGTGGGGCTTAGAGCTGGAGATGTTGGCCCAAATGACCCAGCAATCCAGGCACGGGGCTCCCAGGCAGGCAGCACCTGGGCTGCTCTCAGTGCAGAAAGGAAGAGGACAACCGGCCGGTGGGGCAGTGGAGCACGGGGAAGGTACAGGTGTGTGGATCAAGTCTCAATTTGGTTCTTTTCAAACTTTAACCACCAATGGCATTTTTGAATTCCAGTTTTAAGATAGTTTATACATAGGTTTATACATTAAAAAAGAGAGACTTTGCTATTTTAAAAAACTACATGGGCTTTTAAAAAAAATAGATTTTTTTCCCATAGAGCGCATGCAGTCGCTTGAGAGAGACAGAGACAGAGAAAGTGAGAAATCGCCCTCTAGGGGTGATGGCCACACCACAATCCCTTCTCTTTCATTCTCCTTTAGGGATTTTGGGCATGCACGCACATACACCTGGGGTGATTTTCAGGCCACCGGGTCCAAGTGTCAAACCACAGTCAGCCATGTGGGAATTCAGAGCCTTAACCACCATGCCACCTGATGGCCCTGTAGGCTTTGCTCTTTTAATGCAGCAAAGTGCCTCTGGGGGTGGCAGGTGGTGCAAAATACAGATTCCTCATCATGTGAACAAGGAGCTACCCTATTAGCAGACAGTTCGCTATGGTTACCCTACGCAGAGGCCAGTGGCAACCCCAGTGGGGCTCCTTTTGAAGGAGAGGCTGTCACTTAACTCAGGTGAAGGAACGGTTCAAGATCAGTGTAAGTCACAGGCAGAAACTTGAGTAAGAAAGATGTTGTTTTCCTGAAATTAGTTTGAAACCTACAGGAGGCAAAGGAGGGTGAGCTGAGGGGACTCTGCCTGGGAGCAGGCTTCAGCCGGAGCCTCATCTCTGAATTCCCAGTGTCCCCGCGATTTTGCTCATTTTTCTGTTCAGTAGAAGATCCTGACAATGAGGGCCGAATGTGTGTGTGTGTGTGTGTGTGTGTGTGTGTGTGTGCGTGTGTGTGTGCTGGGAAGAGGGAAAGATGCTCTAAACCTGACCCTCTATCAGGCACAGCAGAGGACCGAAGATAAGCAGACGTCACATCACCATGGGCAAGGCAGACCACGCTCTTAGAAGGACTACTGAACAGCCTGAGGTCTTTGCAAATATTTGATACCAGCTCCTGCATCTGGATACGCCTAATTCCACAGCTGTAAGCCTCATACTAATGGTGTTTACTGCTTTTTTTTTTAATTGCCCGAGGATATATGCACACTCCAGCAAGAGACAGAGAGAGAGAAAAAAAGCATGCCCCAGTGGGGTGTGGTCATGCTGCAATTCCTTCTCCATTTCTCCAACCTGTCTGGATTTTGGGCACACACGCTCATGTGCCCAGTGCATTTTTCAAGCCACCAGGGCCAGGGTTCAAACTGTGGTCAGCTGCCACATGGAATCTGGCTTTCTTAACTAGGGATCAGAAAGGGATAGAAAAACATACCCCTAGAGTAGGTTATAGGGTCAGTCTGCTTAATGACTTTTGAAAGAGTCTACTCCAAAGCTTGTGATAATGGGGTTTTCTGACGCTAAGCCACAGTGCCACCATGGTCACCGTGGGTGTTACTGATGGGGCTAGGGCTTAAGGCCTTGAGCCTCTCATTAACTGGAATCAATGAGCACTTTGTGTGTTACAGAACTCAGACTTAAACTCTGGAAAATGAATGCTTCACTGGCATTTCAAGACAAGTAACTGCAAACATCCCATTGGAGTTGTAATAACTGAAAGCGAACTGGTCCTTTGTAAGAAAAAGTAAAGACAAATCTGGTTATTGTAAACCAGGCTATCCTCTGCAGCTGAAATTCACTGGAACACTGTTCAAAGTAATAGAATTGGATCTAATTTTAAAGGGCACTGAAAAGAAATTTAGATTCTTTGCTATCAAGCTGTGACCAATTTAGAAAAATAAACAGCAAACCTCTCTCCTTCGCAAAGCTGACATTTAAAATGTGATATGTATTGTCTCTATTTTCCTTTCATGAGAAAAAAAAAAAAATCTCAGCACTAAAATGCAATTCCAAGGTATCCCTGGGTCTGGGATCCACCGTCCCGCTCTTTCTTGGAGATAACCCATAGGACCGCGTGGTGGCTGTAACTTTGGTGTCAACTCCGACCTAGTAATGGCCACTGGTTCCCAAAGTGACATGATCCTGGGCAAGCCCTGCTACCAGGAGGTGCCATTTGGCCTTTAAGCAAATTCTTGGGCCGAGGCTGAAATCATCACTGATAGATGAATACTCGAGTTCCTTTCTTTTTGCAGCGAGATCCCACAGACAAATGAGACAGGTGCTAGCGTCAATGAGCGTCCTTCATGCCCACACTGCCACGCCAGCCTCAGTTTTTATCTAAGGTGTGAACCGGGCCAGTTTTCTCTGCTGCTGGGTAGATGTGAGTAAGGGAAACCTTTCTTCTCCTGTGTGGGAGAACTAGGGTGTCTACTCTATGAAAACACACGCCACACCAAAACCATAGTCAGGTCTAGGGAGAAGGGGTCATGGCGCCTATTTAAATAGACCGACTATTTTTATTTTGGGGCTTCTAAGTGCTGCCACCATACTCTGTTAACACGTGAAGTCAGTGAATCCGATAGGTTCGAAACAGCCTGTAGAAGGATTCCCCCTTAGGCTAGGTGGGAAGTGTTCAGCTCGTGTCAGGTATCAGAGAAGCCCCGATCTCATCCTGTGATCTGATTTTGTAATCCTGTTAGAGTAGACTGCTTAGCTTTGTTCCATTGCTTGTCGAAGAGACAGGGTGGGATATTTCTGGCGGGAGAATCTACTGAGCTCCTGTCTTATTCTGGTTGCTGTAGGAGCCTGGAAGAAATGAATGATAATCTCCTTTCCCTTCCAAAGAATTGCCAAGTGCCTGCGCTTCCCTTCTTCCGGGTGTTTCTGGTGACTTCTGCTTAAGCACAAATGTGGGATTTTCCAGGCCCCAGAAGAAACATCCCTCCCAAGAAGGGAACAGAGAGGGGTTTAGGGATGGGGAGCCCGGGTCAGGAGAACTGGAAGTGGGCTAATACCCATATCTGGGAGGGAAACGGGCATGTGCGTCTATCCCTCCCCAATCCCGGGCACTGGGTTGTCCACACTGGCCAGGAGCCCTGTTCTAGTGTGGCTGGAAGCAGGCCAGATGCCTGCCGTCAACCAGTGGGTGAGTCTGACCCAAGCCACCCACTGGTGTTCGGTAAATAAAGACTGAAGCTCCAACGTTCTTCCTTCCGCACACTGAATTAATGAGGCCCCCGGAGGACCCCCAACAGGACTGAGATTTAATATCCCTCCAGCCTGAATGGAGACCTAGAACAGATTAATTTGACTTAGAGTAGGCTGGGGAGGAAGAGAGTGATTTTTTTGTGCCTTAGTATTCTGAACTAAAATTCATACCCACCATACACACACACACCACATATGCACAATTTCTGGACAATTCTGGAGTGTGCTGAATGGTGTGCCATGCTTTTCTAATTAATTTAAATGATCTTAAAATAACAGTCTCCTTTTAACATGGGTTTGGGGGGGTGAACTCTTTGGCAATAAACCAGTCAAGACACACTGACTGTAGTAGTTCTCCTCTGTTCTTCCTACTCCTCCTGCTGTTCTTCCTACTCCTCCTGCGTCCTGCCTAGTCGGGAAACTGCACATTCCCAGCTGGGGCCATGGAGGCTCTGCAGGCCTGTGCCCAAGGAGGTGCCCAGGAAGGGGTACCTGATCCTCTCCTTTATGGACACCGCTGATGCATTTTGAATTGTATAAATGTTTTGTTTGAGAAAGAGCCTGACTTAGTGATGGGCACTCAACACACTGGCTTGTGGATGGAAGGCGTGGCCCCCACTGCCCAGCTAAGGAAATTGCAGAAGGGCAGGGCCTTGCTTCTCCCGAGATTAGCAGAATGGTGATGAAAGAGACCTTGAGTGTAATGAGCACTGAAATAAAACTCTAGCTCTGTTTCAAAGTCCTGATTCTGATCAGAGGCTGACATTCCACCCATGACAGGATATTCAATTTTAATACTCACTGGGTACTCAACTCCATTAAAACAAAGACCGAACGCCTGTGTCAGCTAGGGAACACAGCACGTCTGCGCACTGAGATGCTTCTGACGCTGGGGAAAAGCCCCTCCAGTGCCAGAGACCCTGGCTACCTTTCTGGGACCTCGTTATCAGCCTGCACCTGCTCTGACCTGGAGGTGTTGTAATTTCTTCTTCCTTGGTCATCCCCTGCTGAATGGTATCTTAGGCCCCTAATTCACAAGCTCATGCAATTCCAGGCAAGGCACGGCACGCTGCGCACCCGCTCCTACCCCACGTACCGTGCAGAGCTATGCAGATGCTCTTCCGTCAGCGAGTTAGAGGAGAGATTGATGCAGCTGCCGAACGTCACCTGGAGAGGTGCAATTAGAAATCATCTGAAAACATGCAAGGAGCGGGGCACAGGCACGAGCCCCAGGAAATGCAAAGCATGCGAGAGGGAGGTTAGAGGGCAGCAGCTCAGGATAGACTGCAAGCAGTGTGCGGCACCGCGGAGACCAGCCTTCTCTACTACTGCCCAAGAGAACCCTTTCAGTTATTTGGAAGTTATCCGAGCAATTTTGGTTTTGACATATTTAACTCCCAAGGTCTGGGGCACAGGCATGCCTTTCTAGTTGAATCACGTACTTGCTAAGTTCCTTTATAAAAGCATAATTTACAGAGAAAATGGATATGCCACTTTAAAAATTGTTGTTGCACTAATTAGGGAAATACTCACCAAAACTAATTTGGGTACCTCAAAAAATAAAGACAATGGGGCCAGCAGGTGGCATGATAGTTATGGCACTGGACTCTCACAGGACTGACTACAGTTCCCCAGATCTGGCAGCTTGCTTTCTCACTTTCTCTCTCTTTCTCCCTCTGGTGTGTGTGCATGTCTTATAGCAAATTTAAAAATAATACTAATAATGGGACCAGCAGTTGTTGACTTAACGGCTATGTCGCTGGACTCCCATGTAGTCGACCACGGTTCGAGTCCCAGACCTGGTGGCTTAAACTCACGCCGGGCACGTGTATGTGCATGCCCAAGATCCTGAGAGGAGAAAGGAGGAGATGGGATCGCGGTGTGGCCAACCCCCCCAGGGGTGTGATTTCTCGCTTTCTGTCTCTCTGTCTCTATCTTTCTGGCAAGCGCACGTGCCCTGTAACAAAAACCTCTCCAAAAATAAAAAATAAAAAAATAAAAAATAATACTAATAAATGAAAGTAAATAAAAATAATTATTTGAAAAAAAAAAAGGGAAAGAAAACTGGGGTGTGATCATTTGCCTAAAGCCCCATAACAAATTAAGGCAGAGTCTGGACTCAATCCAAAAAATATGCATATGGACAGTTTTCAAAGCTCAGTAAAATGAGATTTTTAACATGTGCTAAAAGTGCAATGTTTTAGAGATTAGTGTAGCACCAAACAAAAAAATCAGGAAGATTCTGGGGCCAGCAGGTAACATGGAGAGGTTAAGGTGCTGGATCCGCACGGTTGCCTGAAGGGTTCGAATCATGGACACAGTAGCTTGAAACACGTGCTGGGTACTTGTGCACACGTGCTCAGAATTCCAAGAAGAGACCGTGGTGTGGCCATTACCCCTGCAGCGGTGACTCACCTTCCCTGTCTCTCTCTCTCTGTCTACGGCAAGCTCATGCACTCTATAGCAAAACTTTAAGAAAAAAAAAGGGGGGGAAGATTCTGACACTCCACTGGCTGGTTTATCTAGGTTCCATGGAGCACGATCTGGGTCATTCCACTCCACACAGGGTTTTGCATACTGGCGGATACACTGCTTTTTTTTTGGAGAGGTTTTTGCTATAGGGCACGTGCGCTCTCCAGAAAGACAGAGACGGAGAGACAGAAAGCGAGAAATCACCCCCCAGGGAGAATGGCCATGCTGCAATCCCTTTTCCTCCATTCTTCTCTTGGGATCTTAGGCACACATGCACACGTGCCAGGTGTGAGTTTAAGCCACCGGGTCCAGGACTCGAACTGCGGTCAGCTACATGGAAGTTCAGTGACATAGCCATTACGCTAACTGCTGATCCCTGCTACACTGCTATTTGATAGCACAGCAGAGAACACACAGGCAACATTGCTTAAAAAGATGTCTGTGTCTCTGGTTCACTGCCTGTAAGTTAAAAACTAGCGTGTGTGGGTCTCTAATGGAGGCAACTACAAACGTTCATCCCCTGCGTACTGGCAGGCGCTACAAAATCCCTAGCCGCCAGTCCACACTTGGCCATCTGTGTTGTAAAATGCCAATGGGGAGGTCCCTGGAGTGGATTCATTTCAAAGGTCATTTCAGAGTTGAGTAGTTAAGTCTTTTTAAAAAGAGTTTCCACTTATGGACTTTTTAAATTGGGCTTGAGAAGAAACCATCCGGACACGTGCGGTGAACCACCTCTCCCTACAGCAGAATCAGGGCTGACGAAGGGCCCGATTTCTTCACGGATGGATGGTAACATCTTACAGAAATGCCTCCCGATCTAGGACCCTAACCCCCAAGGACCAAGCCATTCGTGGACACTGAGGGGCCAGAATACTATGTTCAGTGACTTCCTTCCCTTTCTCTTAGTGTCTGTTTCAAAGAAAGCGCGAGGGGTATGCACGCTAGCAGGCTGTGTCTCCTCAGGAGCACAGGCATTTAGCTCTCCAGGCCGCGCTTCTGGGTTTTCTGGGGACTCCCTCACGGTGGCATGGGTCAAGGCTCTTTAGTGTTAGGAACCAAGTAATCACAAAAGGGGCTGGGGGAGAATTTCTCCAAACAGCACTCACTGCCTTGCTCTTGCCTTTGCTAGCAGAGCTCACGGGGTTTCCCTTGGCGTCTGCCGTCTTCCTGCCCAGGGAGGGTAGGGGCAGGGTGGAAGTCCTCAGCGGGCTGGCCTGGGCGTTGTTGTTGTTGTTCTGGTTGCCACTAAGCGTCTCCATGATGGAGCGAAAGGTCCCGAAAGGCCTTTTCAGTTGATCGCCCGATTCACTGCTGGTGGACGGCCTCTGGGGGGGCCTGCCTCTGTCCTTGTCCTTTTCTCCACTGAGCTCAAGGCTACTCTGCTCCACGTGCACCACGGGCTCCTCAAAGGTGACTCGGAGTTTCGAGTTCTGAGATGTCCGGCGCTTGGAGGACGGAGACTTGAGGGCACTCTTGGGACTCGTGGCGACTTTCTGGGCGGCAGTGCTGTCAGGGCTGGGCTGAGTGGAGTCTCCAGATGGCTGGTTTAGGGGAGTGTTGCCCAAGCCCGAATACTGGGATTCCAAGTCCGGCTCACTGCTCTCTGAGGTGGGAGACGGGCTGTGGCCCTCCAGGGATTTGGAGGCTTTGATACTAAAAGGAAACCTGCGTCCTGACGCCAAGGTGTGTTTCTTTATCATCAGGTGTAAGCTCTCCGCGCTGTCCATGCCCTCCACGCTCTCTACGATGGGCTGTGGCCTGGGCCGCTCAGCCTTCCTCACGGGGGTGTTCTTGGGGTCCTCGGAGTTGTTGGAGTCCGTGTCGGACTCACTCAGTGACCTCTGCATTAGCTGCCTCAGCCTGGCTAACTTCAGTTCTCTCCTTTCCAGAGGGCTCTTCTTTGAGTTTCTAGAGGAGGCCTGAGCATCCTGGAATTCCAAGGACAGCTTTTCCTGGGTGCAGACATTCTCCGAGATTTCTTTTCCCAACAACTGGCGTAGGATTTTATCGGAATCTTCGTCTTTTGCTTTAGCCCGTGCCCGGCTGGGGGCTGACAGGCTTCCAAGAACCTGGATCCCCTCTTGGACCCCCGGTTTGCTTTTAGCTCCTGACTCGTCGTCTGCGTCTGGAGATTTCCACTGAGATTTTCTGGAAGCTGGCGAGGACGGAGAACTGCAGAGAGGATGAAGAACGTATGAGATGAGTTCTTACTGGGGAAAAATGACTCGACCAGTCACAGTGTGGCCTTAACTGCCACTAATAATTCACAACCAAGTAAGAATGAGCTAGGAATAATCACTATGTGTTCAAAGCCAATTGCAAATACTCCCTGGTAGCAACCATAACCAAAGTATGGCATGCCTCCTACCTTACGCCATGGCTATTAGGGCCGCTAAGTTTGTCTATAGTTGTACTGTGGATGATCCAGTTTTCACATATCTTCTCAACTGATCTATTTCAACAACTTTATCCACATATGTACCCTTATTTCCATTTCACTGAGGAAGAGATGAAAGACTCGAAGAGTCATGGAGCCAAGAAACAGCAGAACTAGATTAGTTTAAGTCTTCGGATCTTAGGCCCAGTGCCATTTTCAATATGATACCTCACTGTCTCATTTAAAAGTATAAACGTGTTTTCTGTTGTCACCCTCTTAGAAGACATTAAATGGATATCCCACAGGAGGCTCAGAGATGGAAGATACTAAAGAACCTTGAACACCAACATGCCCAGGATTACCTGGGTGAAGAAGGGAGGGACTTGCCCTCTGATTTCTGGGCTTCTAGAAGTTGCTGGAGTTGGTTCTGCAGAGTGACACGTTCCACTGTCTGTCTGGAAAAAACATCAAAACACGTAAACTATCTGATATGCGACTTTGGCTACAAATTAAAAGTACACATTTTTAGTAATACTTAACAGTAAGTTGCAATAAATTCAAAAGCCTTAAAAATGTCAAGAATCTTTATCTACAAAGTTCAGAACAATTTTTGTGGAAACAATAAAAATTTAAAAAGATGATTATTGTTAATGTTAGTGAAAAACTCTAAGTTATCTAAATGCTCCTGAATGTTTATATAATTTATAATTATTGCTACAATGATAACTTTTTTTTTAAGAGGTTTTTCACTATAGGGTGCGTGCACTTGCCAGACAGACAGAGAGAGACAGAAAGACAGAAAGCGAGAAATCACCCCCCAGAGGGGATGGCCACGCCGCAATCCCTTCTCCTCCGTTCTCCTCTCAGGATCTTGGGCACGCAAGCACACGCACCTGGCGTGGGTTTTAAGCCACCGGGTCCGGAACATGAACCACGGTCGACTACGTGGGAGTCCAGAGACATAGCCATTACGCCAACTTCTGGTCCCAAGACAGAGGATATTTTTAAAACAAGTTTTACTTGTTTTATAGATGACATGGATAGCAGAAGTCATTTGTCCATGTTGATTACTAATCTGGGGAAAATCCAGTTGTCAAGTCCTGCTATTTCTACCTCTTGCAATATTTCAAGATCAAGGTCAGTACTTCTATGCTTTTTCTTTCTTCTTCTGTTATATCTGAGTTTTGCTTCTTTGAATATACTTACATCTGTTCATTCAGACACTGTTGCTCACTTAATAATACGAAGCAACATTTATTTATAATATACCCTTTATCGTGTTCTAGGCATTGTTGTAACTGTTTGCATGCAATAACTCATTTAGTGCTCTTGCAACAAACACACAGGTTAAACATAGCTTGCCTAATATCACACACCTAGTAACACAGGTAGGACTTAAACTCAGGTGGTCTAATTTTTTTTGGGGGGGGATAGGTTTTTGCTATAGTGCACATGCACTCACCAGAAAGACAGAGACAGACAGACAGACCAAAAGCGAGAAGTTACCCCCCAGGGGAGGATGGCCATGCCGCAATCCCTTCTCCTCCATTCTCCTCTCAGGATCTTGCACATGCACACACACATGCCCGACATGAATTTAAGACACTGGGTCCAGGACTCGAACCACAGTCGACTACATGGGAGTCCAGCGACGTAGCCATTATGCCATCTGCTGGTCCCAACAGCAAACATTTTCTTCAAGGGCCAAAGAGTAAATATTTCAAGCTTGAGTGCCCTGCGGTTTCTATGACAACAACCCAGCTCTGCTGTGTAGCACACACTCAGCCCTGCACGAGGACACCTAGATAGCTGAGCGGCAGCATTCCAGGAACACTGTATTTACAAAGACAGCTGGTGGGCTGGGCCTGGCTCAGCCTATAATTTGCAGACCCTAGTCTAGCCCAAGAATAAAACCCCAAAAATGCATCAGAGTGTTCTATTTTTCCTACTTTACTACTTGGTATTACATGCCAAGGTCTTAAGAAAAAATAGAGAGGGCCTAAAACAGATGAAGAAAGATTACAGTTTGCTTGTAAAGGGTATATTATTAGATGTCTTAAAGTATCTCATAACGAAGTCAGAAAAACTATTTGGGGGCAATTGCGCTGTCTGAAATTCCAGATCTGAATCTAAAGGAGGCCTTGAAAGGACTAATCCCTTGGAATTACAGGAAGGAAGCGACATGAGAAGATGCCCGCGGTATTCATATGCTGGCCTGTCTAGCACAGTGCCACAAAGCATGTGACTTAGTGACAGACACTGACGTCCCAGAGGTTCTCGAGGTCCACAGTCCAAGATCAAGGTGTTGGCAAGGGTGGTCCCTTCAGAGACCTCTGAGGAAGAACCTTTCCCTGTCTCTCTCCCTGCTTCTGGTGGTTTGCTGGCAGTCTCTGGCATTCCCTGGCCTGAAGGTCTCTGCCCTCATGTTCACGAGGCATTCTCCCCGTGTGTTTGTCTACCTCTGTGTCTAAATTTTCTCCTTTTATAAGGATATCAGTCATAGTGGATCCCTTTAGTAGCCTCATTTTAACTGGATTATTTTTGTAATAATAAGGTCACACTCTGAGGTACTGGGGCGAGACATTTTTGGGGAAGGGGTACATAGTTCAACCCTTAGTACTTAGGTTTGTTGAGTCGGACGTCAACTGAGCTGAAGCCTGTCATTTCTAAATAATGGCTCTGTTTATTAACTTTCAATAATTGGGGGACCAGCAGTTGGCATAATGGCTATGTCGCTGGACTCCCATGTAGTCCACCGCGGTTTGTGTTCCGGACCCAGTGGCTTAAACTCATGCCGGGCACGTGTGCGTGTGTGCCTAAGATCCTGAGAGGAGAATGGAGGAGAAGGGACTGCAGCATGGCCATCCCCCCTGGGGGGGTGATTTCTCGCTTTCTGTCTCTCTGTCTCTCTCTGTCTCTCTGGCGAGCGCACGTGCCCTATAGCACAAACCTCTCAAAAAAAAAAATGATAAGGTTTGGATATAGTCAAGACTGGCTCCCCTGGAATTTTGTACTGGGAAGACTAGTATTTCCCAGTCTTCCTCCTGTACCTTTCGGTGCCTGGCAGCCCAAGGGACACAGTGTACCGCGACCACATTGAGTGGATTTCTCAGGTCATTCCTAGTTTTGCCAACCTTGCTGAGGTATTTGCTACATAAAAGTAAAAGACCAGGCTATACAACATAGTGTCTCAAAGTTCATGTTGTCCTTGGCCAGACTACAGTGGTCTACAGCATTCGACTTTGGAGACAGCTGGGACTATGGCCCATGAGCATGGAGGAGAAGCTGCCTTTAAAAGTTCATAAAACGTGCTTTGGAGACAGCTGGACTATGGCCCAGGGGCATGGAGAAGCTGCCTTTAAAAGTTCATAAAACGTGCATTATAAAGAAAGCAATGGAAAGATTTCGAAATTATTTTGCACCCAAATAAACTCATACTTTAATTCCATTTTCCTACAGATTTTTGTTTCATTTTGTTTCTGCCATAGGGTGTGTGTGCTCACTGGAGAGAAACAGAGACAGAGAGAGGGAAATGGGAAATCACCGCCCAGGAGGGATGGCCACGCTGCAATCCCTTCTCCTCTAGTCTTCCCTTGGGATTTTGCGCACATATGCACGTGCACCCAGTGTGTTTCAAGCTGCTGGGTCCAGGACTGAAGCCATGTTTGGTCTTGGAGGAATCCAGCACTTCAGCACCACTCTACCGGCTGGCCCCTCTTATAAACTTTTTTTTTTTGGGGGGGGGCGGTGGAGAGGTTTTTGCTATAGGGCACGAGAACTCACCAGAAAGAGAGAGAGAAACAGAGACAGAAAGCGAGAAAACACCCCCTGGGGGGATGGCCATGCCGCAATCCCTTCTCCTCCATTCTCCTTTTGGGATCTTGGGCATGCACGCACACACACCTGGTATGAGTTTAAGCCACTGGGTCCGGGACTTGAACCACAGTTGGCTACATGGGAGTCCAGTGACACAGCCATTATGCCAACTGCTGGCCCCTCTTATGAACTTTTTGAAGCATCCTTGAATGTGTATTTGATCCCAGGATCATCAACAGAAAGAGCAGCCAAGATCCCGACTGTGCAGAGTTTACCAATAAACGCTACTGTGGCTCTAGAAAGCGTGCCAATTCCGCAGCCTGAGGAGGTGGTTTGTGCTCTTTGCTTTGAGAACGAGCCTTTAGGGAAAACACCGTCTTGGGTCATTTTAAAGTTTCTCATCATGGACATGCCCATGTACAACTAGAGAGTGTGGTCATTAGTACGACATTTTGGAAAAGATGTTAGTCGATGTCCTTCCACATCTTACGTATGTGTATCTTTTGTTGTAGCAACTCCTTCTCTAGGAACTTATTTTTAAAAATACCTATTCATGTTCATAAAAACACATACAATTATGTTCACTGTGGAAGGAGAACTTTTGAGTTATTAATATTTGTGCATTTTCCTTTAAGTAGGTCAAGGCCATGAACTTCCCACTCCCCAGCTCACCGGATCTGGATCTGGAAAGATTTTGTAAAACTGGGCAGAGGATGCTTAGAGGTAACTCTTTTTTTTTAGTTTTTCTTTTTTTGGAGAGGTTTTTTGCTATAGGGCATGTGTGCTCAACAGACAGAGAGAGACAGAGAGATAGAAAGTAAGAAATCAGCACCCCAGGGGGGATGGCCATATCGCAATCCTTTCTCCTCCATTCTCCTCTCGGGGTCTTGGGCACGCACGCACACGCACCCGGTGTGAGTTTAAGCCACCAGATCTGGGACTCGAACTGTGGTCGACTACATGGGAGTTCAGTGATATAGCCATTATGTTAACTACTGGTCCTGATCCTAGGTGTTTTTCAAATGACTTATCTTTAGGAAAACGTATGCATTTCTACAACTTAAAGTAAGACTTCAAGTCTTTTCACTGTAAAACTTAATTATTAAAGTTTATCCTCCTAATCTGCTTTCAGTTTGATTGATCTTGGTCTTCAGGGAACCCTCCCGATATGGCTGCTGTAGTTTGATCTACAGGGTCTTCCAAGGGCAGACCCTTGTCCTCTTGGGGACATTAGCTTCTCCGTCTTCCAACTCCCTAGAGACTGCCCTATGGATTCTCATCTGGTTCAGTTTTCTTTTCTTTTTTTTGGAGAGGTTTTCGCTATAGGGCGCGTGTGCGGACAGAGAGAGACATAGAGACAGAAAGCGAGAAATCACCCCCCAGGGGGGATGGTCACGCTGCAATCCCTTCTCCCCCATTCTCCTCTCAGGATCTTGGGCACACACACACACACACAGGTCTGGGACGTGAACCGCAGTCAACTACGTGGGAGTCCAGCGACATAGCCATTATGCTAACTGCTGGTTCCCTGGTTCAGTTTTCTTCAAGTGTGTCCCAACAGTCTTCCAGAAACGCTCTCCTGACATGCACATATGCAATGTCTATCAGTCTGATCATCTTAACAGCCTTTAATAACCTTATCAAGGCAAGACCTGACTTTGTATGGATTGAGTTAACCATAGAGTACTTCAAGGAACTTCTTGTTGACTAACATTTTGTATTGTGGAATTCATGAGTCATTGGCTTCATTTTTTGGTCATTTTTATTTAATTTTTAAATTATTATTCATATGTTAAATCATTAGACATCATTTAGATTGTGAAGGGATTTTACCCAGCGTGATATACACCTCAGTCCAGCCCAGTTGAGACCCCCATACACATCCTCGTCAACAGATTAAAAACCTTATCCGTGTCCCATAAGTGTCTCACCTCTCCATTCCCCCCCCAACCAAATTTTCTACACTCCTCCCCTCCCACACTCTCTTTCCACTTTGTCTCTAGTGTCCATTAATTTGCTGGTGATGGATTTCCAAATTCCTTATCTGTAATTTCCCAAATATACATTCCTTCCTGAGAGAACTAGGTGAATGGTCCACCTCTAAGTTTTCTCTCTCTCCTGCTCTGTATGACCCCCTGCAGTACCGAGGACAGAAGTCTAGAGATGGGGATGGGATGTTTGTGTGAACTTGCAGCGCCCTGCTATGCCCGGACTGGGAACACACAGTGGGGCCTTCCGTGTCCACTGTGGCTTAAGTCTCCTGCTTAGAGAGCTCGCTCTGCACCGTGCTGCGTAAATATTGTCTTACCTCTGAAAGATGGCACGCTCAGCGTGCGTGCTGGCTGTGAGGACCCGAGGTGGAGAAGCGGAGAAGATAAGAATTTTAAGAATTTCCTTTGTAAACCAGAATGAGGGGAGCTTACCAAAGACTTGGCTGAAACCTTAGCACAAGGACGAGTCAGAGTTTTCTCACAAAACAAAAAGGCCACTTACTCCTTCAGCTGCTTGGTCAGTTTCACCACCTGAGAGGCCAGGGACATGCAGGTCTCCACCACCACCAGGTACCTGGAGCACAGGGTGTGGCCGTGCCGCTCGGCGCTCTGGGAGGGCTTCTCCCCCGCCTGGTTCTGCATGGTGACATTGGCTCCGTACTCAACCAAGGTCTGTTGGAAAATGCAGAGACGTGGTTATTTTAGTTTTAGTCTTTGCTCTAGGGTGCATGTGCACACTGGAGAGATAGCAGGACAGAGACAGAGAGAGAGAGAGAAAGTGAGAAATCACCCCCCGGGGGGAATGGCCATATTGCAATTCCTTCTCCTCCACTCTTCACTTGGGATTGGGGACATGCGTACACATGCACCTGGCGTGATTTTCAATCTGCTGGGTCCAGGACTCGAAGCACACAGTCGACATGGGATCCAGCCATCCTAACTCCATGCCACATGGTCGCTCTCGGGCCCTCTTGGCTAAACATTATTTTCTAACGACTAAAGGAAGGTGGAAGAGGATTTTCCTTTTATTCCCAAAGCAGCTACCAGAGCCCGTGGTGCTGCGGAGAGGGTAGGTACAGTAGCAGCACCTACAAGAGTCTCCACTGACCTTCCTGTGGTTAGCATCAGCCTCCCTTCAGAGCCTAGGAAGATGTAGCAAAACCCATTCTACCACTGCCCATGCCGACCGTGGGCCCCCGAGAGGGCTGGGAGGGAGGGAGGCTCTGCGTGGGCTCTGCCCAGAGCCCATCCTCTGAGACGTGAGGGCAGTGTGTGTGGGGAGGAGTTTTGCTCCCCTGGATCACTGGGCGCCATGAGGATCATTATAAAGTAGGGCGTGCCTGCGAGAGGGGGAGTGTGGGATTCTGTATCTTTGTTCCTGTTTGTCCAGGCCTTGGCGGCTGGTGTCAGAGTAACTGCTGATCTGCGGCTGAGCTTCCAGGATCACACATAAAATGAACGGGAGAGAAAAGACATGGCCGACAGGGAGGCTCACTCCTCCTCGTGCGTGGCAGGGTTATGTCCAGGGGCTGAGCAGACATTGTAACAGGAGCTTGGTGTGACCCCAGTAATGAGGAAGGGCTCTGCAGCAGTGATTGGCAGTGGGTGCACTGCAGGTGGAGGGACTTGCAGGGGGAGGAGGAGGCAAAGCAGGGGCCAGATCTCCTCCATCAGGTACCATGGGTAAACCTCCAGGATGCCCCGATGACCCACCCACGGTGCCCACCAAGGGCTGAGCATCTGACACTGCCCCAGAGGGCCTCAGCGAGGACAGTCAGCTGAAGTAGTGACGAGTTTCAGGGCAGTGCATGGCTGTTCCCAGGTAGGCAGAGAGACCTCTGACCTTTTCTCTTCATTCTTCTCTCTGTCCCTGACATGGAAGGACAGACGAGATGGAGGAACAGGGCTATAAAGCTGACCAGGCCCCACTCCCCAACTCCAAGTCCCTAATCTGGGCTGGGGGTGCTGGTGGGGAGAAGGCTTTGAATCAGAAGTAAGATCGAGACTTTAAAATAAAATATAATTTTCAATGATTTGCTATATAGTATGTGTGCTTGCTGGAGAGAGAAAGAGAGAGAGAGAGAAGGCAGGCAAGGAAGCATCCCATGCAGGGGACGCCCATGCCACAGTACCCTCTCCTCTGCTCTCCTCTTGGAATTTTGGGCACACGCACACACACACACACACACACTTGGGGTGCTTTTGTAGCTGTGGGTCCTGGACTCAAACGCACATTTGGCCATGTGGGACCCAGTCGCCTCAACCACCACGCCACCTGGCTGACTCTGGAGTAAATTTTAATACTCAAAAGCAAGTAGGTTATGGAATCTGGCCAAGGTAAGATTAATAGAGTTGAGAGAGATTTGACAGAGCGTGGTTGAAATCAGTAATTCCGGGAACCAGCAGTTAGTGTAACGGCTATGTCGCTGGACTCCCATGTAGTCGACCGTGGTTTGCGTCCCGGACCGGGTGGCTTAAAACTCACGCTGGGCGCGTGTGCGTGCGTGCCCAAGATCCCGAGAGGAGAATGGAGGAGAAGGGATTGCAGCATGGCCATCCCCCCTGGGGGGTGATTTCTCTCTTTCTGTCTCTCTCTGTCTGGTGAGCGCACGTGCCCTATAGCAAAACAAACAAACAAACAAACAAACAAAAACACAAAAACCCTCTCTGAATAAAACAAAAGAAAAAAAAAAAGAAATCAGTAATTCCGAAAAGTCAGAACCCTGGATTGTATTTATCCCGTGACAGTCTTAGAGGCCACAGAAAGCTGTCCATCAGTGGGGACCAAGCAGCACCATCTTATGTATCGATTGACAACACCACCATGAGACTGCACAGCCTGGGATATACTGCAGTGGAAGGTAATGATTTCCCACAAGCATTGCTTGCGGTACTTATATTCTTAGGTTACTTAGACTCACAGGTCATTAGGAGCTTCACTTTCTCTTCAGTTTATGGTCACTCACCAGGAAAGGCTCATCTGCCATGAAGCCACTGCCACCCATGGTCACAGGACCCATGAGCATGGAGCACTCCAAGCTCTGGAAGAGGCTCAGTATAAACTCACACTGTGACCTGCTGACCTGACCACCACAGCTTTCTCTCCCTGTTTCCCTGACGCAGTCTCCTCCTCACCTCACAGGTCCCTTGGCTCACTCTCGGTCTCCTTTTGCCATTCATTCATTCATTTATTTATTTATTTATTTATTTATTTATTTATTTATTTATTAGCTCA